TACTGGGAAAGCACTAAGGCGCTGGAATACTTTTGCTTACGTCCTCCTGAATTCTGCATTCCCTGAAATGTTTTAAATCAAGATTGTTTCTTTTTTTCCCTGGAAGATGAGGTTCAAATCGAGCAGGAATTAATTAAAGTAAGTCCAAGGTCAGTGTTTTTCAGGAGGCCAGGATACACAGTCACAAGGGCCCCTGCTAGCCTATTAATGTTCACCTTTACCCTGGAATCTCTAAATTACCTAAAACTTTAAAACATCTTTACCCCTAAGCAGAGAATCCATGTGAGGAAGCAGGCACGGCTGAGGCAGCTTTTCCACATAGGCAAGATTTTATTCAAAGCACTTGTCAAAACCATTGCCATGCAGTAGACAAACTCTATCTAGGGAGGCTGACCAGCACAAGTATCACAGAACTGTGTGATTATCAGAGAATAAATCACTTTTATTTTGGAATACACTGTCAACACCAGGGAGTTATATTGGCAGAGCTGAGATAGCTGTTCTGGTCAATTTTCCTATGTAGACATGTCATACATATATTATAAGTCTGGAGAACAATCTCCCAAGAGAAGCAATGAATACTTTATTGATTGGGATATTTCAAACTTGTGAGGACACAGCAATCTTTTATTTGATGAATGAACAGACAAGGTGGAATTCAGAAACTCAGCTATTTTTTTTTCTACTTTTTTTTTTTCTCCATCTCTGATTTCTGGGCTTAGTTTAGAGAAGATATTAGGACAACACTAGCGAATGGCAGGGGAAAAAAACATGACCTATACCCGACTCTGCTAACATCAGACGGGCTGACACCCTGCTGCAAGGCACAGAAGCAAGACCTGGATATATAGCCATGGAAATGCATGAAGGGCTGCTCTCTGTCACCACGCATGCATGGTACATACCCGGACACCAACTTTAACTGTTTAGTGAGAACTTTATTCCCACCAGTGCTCAGGTGCTTTTGGCAATGGAAGGTATATGTGAGAAATGACATCTTGTATTAGACTGATACAACCAAGAAAAAAAAATATATTTTAGAGACTGGAGGAAAGCACCTCATTCCTGAAATGTTTTCCAGCCTTATCACCTGGTCTAATGAAGCACATTATTTCTCTCTCCTCAGATTTGGCTAGGCCTTCACAACTGCAAAAGCATGGCTGCTACGAGGACTGTTGACACCTGCCTGTGTGACTACCCGTGAAATGCCTCTGGTTGTGCCTCTGGTTGTGCTTTCTACGCATTGCAGACAGCAGACAGGATGTTCTGGGTGGGAACTGGGTTGAACTCATTGCTCCCTCCCCTGCATGCAGGACTTGGTATGAAATTTACTATTGAAAAGGCTTCACTGCTATAAAACACTGCTAAGAAAAGGTGGGGGATTTTGGCACATGGGTAAGTTTTTAATACCTGGAACAGTGATTTGGGGTTGTGGGATAATCACCTTAAGAGGAGAGACTGCGTGTGCAGTTTACATAGATACACAGGCTACCTTGAACTTAGCTGGTTCCTATATTGCTTGTACTGTAGCAGAATGGTACAGATTTCAGCAGATATCAGTAACAAAGCAGTTAATGGTGTTGACAGTGACATTTTTTACAGCTAGATTTTAAAGAAAATGCTCCAGGAATAGGGAAAAGGCAGCCAACATTTTTCTGTATTTCTTTACAGCACATTTGCAGATGTCACCATGCTTACTCCATCTAAGTCATGGTTACCTCCACAAGAAATGGAACTTTATTTCTGTAAATAAGGCTTAGACAGCAGAGCACAGATTTGTATTTTGTGACAGGCTCTGGACAAAATACACATTAGAAATCACTGAGTGTACAGTACCTAGATCACATATTTCAGAATATTTCAGAATATTTCAGAATATTTAAGGTTGGAAGGGACCTCTACAGATCATCTAGTCCAACCTTCCTGCTCAAGCAGGCACACCTAGAGCATGTGGCACAGGGTGGCATCCAGGCGGGT